CAGGTGAGCGCGGGGAGCGGACGCGCGGGATGGGCGCGACGCGCGGGACACTATGCGCGGGGAGGGGGACCAGCAGGAGCCGGTTCCCCGATGGCGAGGGGAGCCAGGTGACAGTGCGGTCCCTTCGGCTGTAGAGCGCGGGATGTGTGACCCGGAGAAGGGCACCCAGGACGTCAGGAGCTCCGCGGAAAGGCTGAGATGGGCTTTCTGGAGCGTGGGGCCCGGAGCGCAGGGGCGCAGAAAAGCAGAGTGGATGGGTAAATCTGATGCGCTGCCTGGCCGCTCGGATGGGGCTGTGGTGTCTGGACTTTGCTTTCCAGGAACTGTGTGCCCTCACCTGCGCCAGGCCACCCCTCAGCTGAAGATCAGTGCCCCAGATCTTTCAGCCGGGCGGGAGCTGGAGCCGGGGACAGCAGAGGAGGACGGAGTTAAACTCACCTAGTGAACCTCGAGGATGATTCTCCGGCTATTTTTGGTCAATCCTGACCAAGTTGAGTGGTCAAGGTTCAGTCTGCCCCCTTTTGGTGTTTCAGGGTTACGGGGACAGAATACCATCCAAGCAGTTTCACCTTGCGATCCGGATGGCTGGTTAAGCCAGGGTGCAGTTTAAGGATCTAGTGTCCCCGTGGGCCTAGGTTCTCCAAATGGTTAAATAGCTTGCGTGTCCAAGAGGACTCAGCGTGATTCGGTAAGGGACTGAGTGGTCTCTTTATGACTTACATGGAAGGGCGAGATCTTCCCAGCAGCCTGGATTTGGATTTGTGGCTTTAGCCCTCTCTTCCTAGGTATCCCCACCCCCGAATTGGGGTAGGCGGAGCTTGCTGAGGGGCGGTGATGCTGTCGGGTGGTGGGGACAGACTTGGGGTGGCTACCCTGGCTTCTGTTCTGGCTGAGCTCTGAACTTCCCCTGTGACCTTGGAGAGAGTTCAAATCAGTACTAAGGTCAGATGGGTCTCTTGTACACAGTCTATACACTTCTGTAATGTCTGCCTCCTAAAACTAGAAACGGGGGGGGCAGGTGTCTCACCTCTTTGATGGCACAAGAGAAGGAATATCCAGAATCGCAGCTCTTAGCAGCTAGAATTAAAAGCCACATATTCTCCTTCCAGTTGGAGACACAGGTGAGTGTCTCATCACCTGTGCAGTAGTCAGAAGATAGATTAGTGGTCCTCTTCCTGCACCTGTTTTGCAGGTGTGACTAGAACCACAGTGGACTAGGGGACCCTGCATATTGTTTCTTCTTCCGGAAGCACCAGGCAGGAAGGCCTCTGCCTGCTTAATCTGGCCTTTGTTATTCACCTCACCTCTGGGGTTGATGAGCCAGGTGTTGGCTGAGAAACCCAGTAACCCAAGGGGTGGGAGTGGCCACAGTGTTGACTTCAGGGGTTGTTTGTTTTTTGTTTTTTTATTTTTTATTTTGTCAGTACCAAGGATTGGACCCAGGGCCTTTGTACTTGAGTTATGTCCCCGGCTTCCTTTCCTTTCCTTCTTTTCTCTTTTTCTTTTTCTTATTCTTTTTCTTTTCTTTCAACAGCAACTTTCTAAATTGCCGGGCTCAGCTCAGTCTTACATGATCCTATTGCTTCAGCCTCCTAGGGAGCTGGGCGGGATGTGCCATCGTACTTGGCTGGCCTTGACCTTTAGGCAGAAGAAGTGAGAACTGTGGGCTCCTTGAGGTACCAGAGCTCCGTGACGGAGCACAAATCCAAACGCAGTGTTGTCCCAGGGAGAAGAGCCAACTCTGATGTACAGTGGCTGGTTTGTGCTCTGGCGACCACTGTGCTGGATGTGGGCAGAGGCCTGGCTCCTGCCCTTCCTGGGCAGAAAGAGCACCACAGATGAGTAAAGAAGCAACAGCACAAGAAAGGCCTCTTTGCCGGGTAAATCTAGGTTCAGAGGAGAGCACTCAACTGCATTTGGTGGGTGGGGTTGGGAGGTTTTGGGGCTTTTGTGCCAGATTGGCCTGTGTTCAAATGTGGCCCAATCACTCCAGCACTGAGAAGCTGCTTCACTTCTGTGAGTCTGTGCTCAGCACCCTGTGTGATGCAGGCCTGGTCATCACTATCCTTGGGGAACGGAGTGGTGATTTAGGGGTCCCAGAAGCTGATGTGGCCAGTTGTGTTGTAGGGATGACATGAGCCCAAATGTAGGGTGGATTCCTGTCAGTATTATGGATGCAGTTTCCCAACCTTTGGAATAGGCTGCTTTCCTGTGGCCTGTGGGAAGTATCCTACAGACTCATTGGCCAAGCTTAGCGAAAAGAGGTGTTCTTTCTTTTTAGTTCTGGAAACTATGTTGAGTTCTTCAGGAGAGAACTATTCCATTTCTGGGCTGATGATGTCTAAGAAAGACTCAGTGTCTATGATGTGCCTAGTGTGCATGCATGCGTGTGTACATGTGTACGTGTACGCACATTTTATGTCTGTCACAGGTCTTGTCCTGTTTTCAAACCCTCCCACCTCTTTCCTTACCTGCCCACACCCCTTGCCAGTCCAGGAGTATTTCAGCATAGACTATGTGCTGGGACTGCCCTCGTCGGTAGCAGTTATTTGCCAGTTTGCCCTTGACTCCTGGAGAAAGCAGTGCCTAGCTGTTTTGTAGAACCACACACTGGTAGCATGTTATCTGTAGGGATTTTGCTTGCTTGTTTGCTCACTTTCTTTCTTTGCTACAGGGATTGGAACTCAAGATCTTGTGCTTTCGAGGCAAGCGGTGGCACCACTGACGTAAACCTCCAGCCCTGGGACTTTATTTTAAAAGACACTTGGCTGGAAATACTGCGGATCTGTGATCCTACCAATTCAGGACGCAGAGGCAGGAGGACCACAAATTTGAGAGGCCCCAGCCTGGGTAATTCAGTGAGACCTTGTTTCCCCCTGCAAAAAAAGGAGTTGGGGTGCAGTTCAGTATGTAGAGTACTTGTCTAACACGCATGAGGCCCTGGGGTTCCTTTTCCAACACCGCCCAAAAATGGGTAGGTACTGATCTAGAGATGTTCATTGGTGTTCCCAAGTCACATTACTTGCCTGTGGCCAAGGACTGGATGGAGAAGACCGAAGAAGGTTCTATTTTTATTCCTTAGTGTGATGAAATTGCCCTTGGTCCCAGTCTTTTCCTGGGAACCCTGAAATCGCTTGTCTCTGTGGGGGTTCAAGATATGGATAGTCTCTACCTCTACCATGGGGGTTACATCTGGGGGTGGCACCTTCTTTCTCTGGTGCAGACTCCCCAGAGATAGGGGAGGAGAGGGTGCAGAGTGAGTGAAGAGAGGTTCTTCCAGCCCCGGATGTCTGCAGGTGACCCTCTCTGACCTGGGGCTGGATGCCAGGAGATAAGGAGTCCAGAGTCTGCTAGCTGGGGATGCTGCCAGGCAGGGCCTCATGCCTGCCGGGGTAGGGGCCACAGGGCAGCCCCAGTGGCTGACAGCCCCTGAGGGGCCCTGGTTGGGCCCAGACAAGATGGGGAGAAGGAGCCCCCTGCTAGGCTCTCCAACCTGCGCCAGGCCGGGGAACCAGGGAGCCAAGTACCCTGCCTGCCTACCCCTGGCAAACTCAAGTCCCTGCCTTTGCAACCGGAGATCTGACTGTTCTCAGCCTCTGAACCTGCTAGGTGGAGGGAAACAGTGACAGCCTGAAATTTATTACTGTGGAGGGCCTGGAGGCTCTCAGTATCAGTAGTTAATAAAATTTTTTTAAATCCATTAAATGTTGGGAATTAAAAGAAAAATAAATTTGAGTAATTTATCTTTGAAAGGTACATTTTTATTCAACACTTTCACAGTGCTAGGGAGCAAACTTAGATTCCCAACTGTACTAGGCCAGTGCTGTGCCACTGAGCTGGATCCCCCAGTCCTTTTACCAGGTCTTTTAGTTTAGGGCCAGCGCCTTTTCTCTGAGTCCCCAGATCCTCTAATTAGATTCTAAAACTGTATATAAAAATCACACCTATCTGTATCACCTGTGATGCCCAGTTTTCTTTATTTTGTTAAACTTTTTCACTAGGCTCTATATTTACATAGTTCAAAAATCAAAATAGTGAAAAAAATCAGAACTGGCCCCCCCTTTTTTGAGGCAGGGTCTCACTATGTAATGTAACTTACTGTGTAGCATAGGCTGACCATAAACTTATGGTGATTCTTCTGCCTCAGCCTCTCACTGTACCCACTCCCTCCCTTTTTAAGAAATGCTCCAAAGTAGCATTTTAGACATTGTTAAGCCCTGTGCCTTTTCCCTCTAGTACCTATATTAGACCTCCACTTATGGGCATGTGGAAAGCTTTTACTATTCATTCATTAGGGCTGCATAGTACTCCACACAATGGAGGTACTGTCATTTTATTGACCTTTTATCCCACCATGGTTGTTTTCATTATTTTTCTATTATATACAGTGCTGCAATGAATAACTTGAGTAAGTGGCATTTACTACATGTGTAAGTATGACTAGAATAAATTCTTTTTTTTGTTGTTCTATAAGTCAGGCTAGCCTTGAACTCCTGGCAGTCCTGCCTCAGCCTCCCAAGTGCTGGAATTACATGCTTCACCATTCCTGGCTAGAATACATTATGTGAAATAAGACTGCTGCGTAAAGGGTTAAATACATTAGTTAAATCGGCTTTTATTTTAAAAAAGAGAAAGAATTTAAGACATTTGCAGACCACATTTAGAGTCTACACTTGCCTAATTGTGGTTCTTTGCTGTTTTTTCATTTGTAACAAGTCTTTCTAGATTAGTCATTCTAATGCTTTTTAACATGAGGACCCTTTAGTACTATCTTTTGTTTATATAGCTACATCTGTTGATATTTACTATGTTAAAAAGTGAAGCTGAGAAATTAAAAAATGATGACTGGGTTAGGCATGGTGATGCATGCCTGTAATCCCAGCACTTGGGAGGCTGAGTTTGAGGGCAGCCTGGTATACATAGTGAATTCAAGGCCACCTGGAGCTATACAGTAAGACCCTGTCTCAAAAACAAACAAAAGATAGTAACTTATTAATTCACATAAAACAACCAAAACAAGCCTGTTACATGTTAACATAAAAGGCATATTTTAGCCGAGTGTGATGGTACATGCCTGTAATCTAGCACTTGGGAGACTGAGGCAGGAGGATTGCTACAAGTTCAAGGCCAGCATGGGCTGCATAGTGAGTTCAGGGCCAGTCTGAACTATGTAATGAGATCCTGCCTCAAAATACACAAAAAACCCACTGCCCTTAAAGGTCTTTCAGAAACTTAAGTATTCCACAGAATCTCCCAAACAGTTATTTGGTATTTTTGTACTTTCTATCTTATGAGTATATCATAATATACTCAGCCATTTCCTTTATTTTAGTAAGTAATTATTAGTTGTGGTAGTACTAAGGTTTGAACCCACCAGGGCCTTCACGCCAAGCTTTAGCTCTAGCCTTTTTTCATTTCTTATTTTGAGATAAGGGTCTCACTGAGTTGCCTAGGCTGGGGGAACTTGGCATTCTCTTGCTTCAGCCTCCCAGAGATCTGGGTTTACAATCATTTGTCACCATGCCCAGCTCCTTTAATTTTTTTTAACATTTTTGATTGATGAATAATGTACAGATTTATGGGGCATCATTTTTCTCTTAATTAAATTTATTTATTTAAAGAAAGGGTTTAGCTATTAGCTGAAGCTGGCCTCCAACTCACAAACCTGCCTCAGTTCCCAAGTGCTGGGATTACAGGCATGGACCACTATGCCTGGCTTTAAATTTTTGAATCAGACTTGCTGAAATGTTGCAAAAATAGATTCGTCGTGCTGTCATACAGGTTACCAAGAGCAGGGAATTAACACTGGCACAGTATTATAAATGCAGGCCTTTCCTAAATGTCACAGATATCTTCTGTAATGTCCTTTTCCTATTTCAGACTGACGTACAGTCTGATGTTGCCTGTAGCTGTTGCTTTTCCTAGTGTCTCTTCCGATCTGTGGCAGTGCGTGTCTTTCCTCGTTAGGCTGTGGTCCTGCATTTTGAGCAAGAACACTGCAAGGATGACGTATCCCCTCTGGAGCCTCATAATGAGGGGTTCACTGTGTGTGTATGAGTGTGCGTACGTGTGTGTGTGCACATGCTGGAAATTGAGTCTGGGGCCCATGTGTTAAGCGTGTGCTGTGCCACTGATCTGCACCCTCTGGCCTGTTTCTGATTATGTCCACCTGGTCACTTGGATAGACTGGTGTCTGCTGCCTTTCCCCACTGAAAAAGTTGATCCATTTTTACCTTTGTAGTTTCAGGCCCCCTTTAAGAGTATGCAACAGTGTTTCTTGTACTTTCATCCTCTAATTTTAGCAGCCATCTGCAGGCTTGCTTGCAATGATTACTCTGGTGTCTGCCTGACAATTGATTTTTTTTCCTTCTTTTCTTTCTATCTTTTATTTATTTATTTATTTATTTTTCATTGTTTTTTGAGACAGGGTCTCACCATATAGTTCAGGCTGACCTAGAACTCACTATGTACCCCAGACTGGCCTCGAACTTGTGGCCATCTTCCTACCTCAGCCTCCCGAGTGCTGGGATGACAGATGGCATGCGCAACCACACCCAGCTTCCTTCTTTTCTTTCCCTCTGGCACTGGGGATTGAATCCAGGGCCTTTGACTGTTATGTTCCCAGCCCTACTTTATTTTTATTTTGAGACTAAGTTGCACAGGTTAGACTTGGATTTGTTCCTGGGTATTACAGGCATGTGCCACCATGCCCTGCTCAACCATTTTCTTAACATTGGGTTGTAGGTTATTTCTAATTGTTTTACTACTGTCATTATGATCCTGATCTGCACACACTGGCCTATGTGCCTGTAGAATTATTTGACTCAGCTCATCTTTTAGATTATGGAGGCAGAGGTGAGCATCCCTGGTTAAGCCAGGCGTGGTGGTGCACTCCCGTAATCCCAGCACTGTGGAGGATCTTCATGATTGCAGGCCAGCCTCAACTACATACTGAGACACAAAACACACGGGATTCGGTATCGAGAGGGGCATTTGGGTATCCTACATGCTCTGTCAACATCCAAGGTCAGAAATTACTGCAGTTCATTTCAGCTGCCACCTGCTCCTTGTAGGCAGGTATTTAATGTTGTCATTGGGATGGTTCATGGGAAGTCAGCTGGAACAGGAAGGAGCACGGAGACCCAATACTCCTGGCTCTGTTAACTGTGACCAGAACTTAGCCTTTCATCACTCCAGGGAGCAAAGGCTTGTCGGTCATCTCGCAGAGCATGGAGGTGTATTAGCATGGCTTGCACTCATGTGATGTTGACTGAGGATCCTGCAAAGCTGGAATCCCGGTGTCCCTGGCATTCTCATTTGGGGTCGGGGTGGGACTCTGCCAAGCACAGGGCTGAGCAGAATTCAGCGCCTTGTGGCTATAGGGCTGATGCTGCTTTCCCTGTTGGTCACCAGCCAGGAACCGCCTTCAGTTCCTAGAGGGCCCTCACATTTCCTTCCCTAGCTCATTGTCAACTAAAAACTGCACAATCCCTTTCGTCAGACAGCGTAACGCAATCCCAGGTGTGACGTTGCTTGTTACAGGTCTTGCCCACACACCAAGGGCAGGTCACCGCAGGCTGTCTTCAGATCCTGAGAGCCTCAGCTAATGTTGTCAGGCCTTCATTCCAGCCGCAGTGTTTACCTGGTACAAATACTCATTCCTGTGCCTTCTCACAACAGAAATGGATCTCCTAATTGTGAGGCCAGCGCCCTGGGGGAGAATCCATCCTTGCCTTTTCCAGCTGCTGGTGGTGCCTGGCATCTCTTGACTTGGGGGATGACATGGCTCCAGTCTGGCCCTGTTCACACAGAAGGCCTTCCCTTCTGCATGTTGGTGTCCAGATTTCCCT